TAAAACAAGAACCTTCCATAGCGAACAATTCGATGCTTCTACGCTTTCGTCTGCGAGCAGCCGACTGCTATATAAAGGCGACACTCAGCTGCAAGTCAGGTTAGTTACAAAGTGATCTGGTTGGCGTTAACATCAGTGAAGTCGTAAAGTAAACGCGTTGGAGATTATATTTAAGTAGAGTAAATCGTGAAAGTTGATACTAGTGATTGTAAATAGTAAAGTGTATTGTAATTGAATTGTGAATTACGGAGTAAATAAAGGACATTAGATTAAGTCTTTATAACGAAAGAAACTGCAAATTAAGCTGGCGAGTTTTATTTAACAATCCAGAGATCGTACCCGAAGGATTCGGAAAATAATCGAGGTTGATTTAGTAAAATCGTAACAATATATATTTTAAAGAAACAACTTAGTCCGCTTCACTTACCACCGATGTTGTCACTATAGAGTTCTGAACTTAACTTAACTTGCTGGTGAATTACCTGCCGCTTCCATATACCTAAAGACTTCTCGCTTGCAGTTCTAGTATGTTCTGCTTATTCACAATAACGAATATTCGATACATGCACTCTAAAACAAGAGAATGTATACAGAGAACGCATATTATAGAAAAGAGAATAAAATTAATTTACGTTCTCTGCAGAAATAGTGATCAAAATACTAGAATGAGCTGCATTGTATGTTAAATAAGAAAATACATGTTCCCTGCTCCTACACCTGTGCTGACTATATATCGACTGTAACAAACGATCGACTATTTGTAACATCGATATTAGTTTTTCTCACTCCTAATTGCAGATGTCAGAATAAAATTTGTATATTTTCTTTTTTTTCTGCGATGCGTTTAATGGATATTCAGTATAAAAACTAAGATAACATATATTGGATTTTCAATAGAAAGAGTTGGAATGCACAGTTAAACAAATGGAAAGTGAATCTGTTGAGGGAAACTTGATCGAACTTGTCAGTAAATCATTTCCGGAGGAGCATATTGAGGAATTGTCAGCTGAAGATTGCGAGAACACTGGAAATAATAAAGTGCGTAAATATAGCTTTGTGTGGCATTATTTTCGCTCTGCAGAAAATGATGTTGGAGGTTCTCTAGAATGTGTCATATGCACCAGCAGCGTAAGCAATCAGACTAGCAACTTGGCCCGACATTTGTTTTCCGCACACAATATAACCAAGAAATCCCATAGTGGTGAAGTGGTAACACAATAAATAAAAATATAAAATTGGTTTCAATTTACATGCTTTTGTTTTTTTAACAGGATAACGAAACTAGCGCTCATATCGTTCTAAGTAGGCCAAGCCGGAGTTTTATATGGAAATATTGCACAAAAGAAGATTGTAGGTACGCACGATGTCATTTATGTGATAAGCTATTGTATTTTGGTTCCGGAAACACCGCAAATTTAACTAAACATTTGCGACGTAAACATTCTGAAGTTATTCAAGAGGAAAGTAGTTCAAAGGAAATGGAGGATTCTGAAGATTTACTCACTGTTTTATCATCAAAGCAAATGGACTCATCTATTAACAGTTGCGACGAGGAATTTTGTAAAATCAAAGAAAACACTTCTGATAGTAAACAATCACGCAAAGAACGTAAAGGTAGTAGTTATGTATGGAACTATTGCGAAAAGCTTTCTAGACATACAATTCGTTGTAAACTTTGTCAGAAAGTAATGAGCTTTCATGGTACAGCGAATGTAATAACCCATCTACAACGACGCCATAATATAATTGGGCGTGTAGACAATGAAACAGTAAGTTCCTATGTATATTATTGTATTATGTTTGCAATAATTGTTACTTATAGACAACTTTTAATGATGGAGCTGAAGAAGATAATTTGTTGCCCGACTCAAAAGAAGATTCCGATATAAATGTGCATCGGCGCAGGAGACCTGCGGCGGGAACCAGTATTGTTTGGAAATATTGTACCCGCCTTGGTCCGGATGTGGTTCGCTGCAGTTTTTGCAAAAAGAATTTATCGTTTCAAGGCACAAGTAATTTACAACGCCATTTACATCGCATGCATGGTATTGTTACACAAGGGAGAGAATTCAAGGAAGTGAATTACGGTTCAGCTGAAATCGATGATAGTTTTGTATGGGAACATTGTGATCGCATAGAGAATAGTAAAATAAAATGCTCCATGTGCAATAGTACCTTTAACGAAAAAGAATTTTCGAAAATTCGAACGCATCTTACAGTAACACACGCAATACATTTGGGTCCGCCACCGAAATTACGCAGACGAAATGTGGTTTCAGAGGTTTGAATTCAATCAAAGTTAATAATAGTGCCCTTTTGATTTGTATTAGAATTTTGTTTTTTGTTTATTCTTTCTGCTCAATATGAATTTCATAAGCTTTTGCTTTTGTTAGGATACTTGTGAATCAGATGAATATGAGGACGAAAATGATGATGAAAATTGGAAAGTTGAGAACGAATATACAACAATAGAGTTTAATGATGAAAAGATAAAGAAGGACCAAACAACTTTCGATGATATAATAGAAGAAGATCAAGTAGGACAAATTAATTGCGATGAAGATCCTTTTGATCCTAATGTAAATATTGTTATATTATGTGATAAAACTTTGTATCCTAAGTGAATTTTCAATTATAGATGTTGCATGCTTATGCTGTTGCGCAACCTTTGTCACCTACTTCTAGTCGTGAAGGTTCACCAGAATGTAAAGTAAAGAGACCAGCAAATACCGAAAGATTGCGTGCATTAAATGAGGAACGATTGCGCATGGAAACTGAATATTTTCGAGAAAAGGCAGGATTTTATCGTATGCAAAAATATTTCACCGCTTTGCAGGCCAAAAAAGTTCGAATTGAATTAGAACGTATGCATAGTTCAAGCTCAAATGGTACATCTTATCATGTTGATCTAGATATTTCAAATGTCGAAACTTCCATAAATACCATGTAAAGCAAAAAAAAAAAAAAATAGAATAAAGACTTAAATATTTCGAACCATTATGCAATAGTAGTTCATTTAGGCTCCAAGAGAAGCGTATGGATATCTCTTTAGCTTTATTAGGTGAAGTAAAAAATATCTGAATAACGATTAACACAAATAAACTTGAAATAGCTTTCATGCCAGTTGTTTATAATTATCAAATAACATAGTTAATACTAAGGATTGTTAGCTGGTGCGCATTGTTTCCAGTTCTAATATGAGTTTCTTACTTTGCAGCTCAATCATGATTCTTTTGGCGCGCGCTAACTCAGCCATTTCATTAAAGTATCGTGTTTCAGCTAGAAGTTTTTCCTTGAATTGTGGATTATTCAAATATAATTCTGTGTTCAAAATGCCCGGTTGCTTAACAAGCTGCGCATCAACGTCATAAATGTCATTTATATTTTCACTCTCCTCCTCGGCTAAAGGAGAGATCTGCGACGGAGACGGTATTGGCAAAATCGGTCTCTGGTAGTCATGTGTCGAGTGCTATAAACAATTTTTGATAATCCAACAGAGTTATTATACTTATATAATGAATACTTAATACCGTATCATCTTCTCCATCGGCGTCTTCGTCAGATCTATTACAACGTACAAGTTCCATGGGTACAATTTCTTGTTTTATTACTTCGAGTGGTTCCAATGAATCATTTGTATTGGTACCGGATTGTAGATATGAAGATGCCAGGTTCACTGAACTGCGATTTATTCTTCCACGCTTGTGCTTTAAAAATCCAGTTCGCTCAGCACCATAGTAGCTAGCATCAACATGATGCCTGTAAACGGGGAAAAGGGCCACCAACAATGGGTGAAGTATTTGAGAAAATAGTTTATCGAAAACGACCTACTTGTAATACAGATGACGAACTAAATTAGCGGATGTGTGTTTGCAAGAAAGATTGAGTTTGCAATTCTTACAACGGGCTGCATAATCAGATATTCGATCAAAGTAGAGCCATATTTTCTTATTCCTTACGCGGCCCATTCCAACACTCATTGCAGCGGCAACAGCTGCAGCAGAACCAACGAAGCTGAGCTGGGATAAACAATTTTTCACAATTTGTATGATCTCAATATACCAAGCGGGTTTGAGATTTAGGGGGCCACTTTCATAACGTATTGTTTATTCGCTCAATTATTGAGATTCTGTTTTTCGACATTTTGTTTTAAGGGATTTGTAATTATTATATTATTTTATTCGCCTCTGCAAATTTTCCTTCACGATATTACACACAAACAATCCAGTACCAGCTTTGACATACATATGTGCAGAAAACTTGAGACAGATTAAACTTCACCGAAGCGTATGCGTTGCCATCGTTTTTTCTGCGGAATTGTAATACCTTGCTTCGATTGATATCGAAAACTCTTTGAAAAAAAGTTTGCGTTCAAAGAGACCTGACAAAACTTCTATTTTTTTTTTTCAAAAATTTTTGAAAAAAAAAATAATTTTCTCAAAAAAAAAAAAGAAAAATCACCGATGTAGTAATAAAAAAAAATTTATGGTTCTAGAAACGAACCACTCTTATTGGAAAGTGCATTGTCAAACGAATGACTATAACTTCTTCAAGTAAACATTAGTATTTGGACCGAAATTCATTTCTAGAGCTATGTTATATCCTGTTTTGCCGTATACCATAGAAAATTATATTAAATTAAAAAAAAGATTTTATTAATAACAACATACAAATGTTAATCTGAATATTTAAGGGGGCAGAAACAATTACACGGTCAATAATTAGACATTGAAAAACATTTTTTTTTTTCAAAGAAGGAATAATTCAATCATTATAAAACTTTGGACGTCGTATTATTGATCTGTAACAGCCCATAAAAAATTTTGGCTAAATATACATGTAATTTGTCGGTAAACCTTAAAATTTAAAAAAAATAATAATTCTGCGTTTGGTAGAAGTTTTTGTAAAAAAACGATAATTTTCACTATTTTTTCAGCAACATAAAAAATTCCAAATCATTTAGGTTTACAGACAAGTCTAAGGCATAAAGAAGAAACCCAAAAAATGTCAGCTAATTTGGCCAAGTATTTTTCGAGTAATTGTGGTTGCCACTTTTAAAAATGTTGTTTTGAGGAAAACGCGTTTAAAGTTTTGAAAACCTGCTATGCGCTGAAAAAGGCATTCTCGAAAAATGAAGGAGTTCGATTTTCGATCTAAAACTTTTTGGAGCGTATTCTACGGGAAATTTCCTAATTTTTTAGAGGAACAAAAAAAAAATCTATTTTTTTTACCTTCTATTTGTATCTACCCCCTTACGAAAATAGCATATATATGACTAATTTTGGCCAACTGAAGGTCGCCTGTGACTTCGCCCTGATGGAATTCTCCAATGGTTCTAATTAGATATTTAATAAGTTTTTACGTTATTTATTTTATTATAATTTATAAATTATTATGTTAAAATGTATAAGAAAAAGTTCTCCACATGGTACTTGGAACTTGGTACATGAATAGCTTTTTAGTTTGTTTTGAGATTTACATGTAATAAACACATGGAATACTCATTTTCGGAAAGTGGATCGCAAATCAAGGCCACAACAACATTATATTTTTTTAAACAAGCCTTTTTTGAAAACATCTAAGGCTTGAAAACAAAACTTTAGATCTTTAAAGCCAGGCTCCTCCTAAAAATGTGTTTTTTTTTTCGAACAATTTGTATTTATTGAAAAAAAATATATAAGTAGAAGCATAAAAATATTAATTGAAATTTTTTTTAAAGACGGCTCTTAAAATTTAAAACAAGATAACTGTAAAACGAAACGTCTGAAAGCAAAACTCAAAACGGTATGACCGGAACTACACCAAAAACATTTTCACAAAAAAAAAAAAGAAAACCCGACTTTTTAATTTTTTTTAACCGTTTTTCTCCATTTTTATTGCTCATAAATTTTTTAAATAACAATGAATATTTTTGGTTGCAGTTCCGACCATGGGGCGGTATTTTAGGAGTAGTTTGCGTTGATAAGTTCAATAGGTTCTAAATAAGAGTGTCACCGAGCTGAAAGACGTGGTTTCGAGAAAAAGCGATTAAAGTACTCGAGCGGCCGGATTTACCGCTAGGCGCACTCCGCTCTCCACTCTTCTATACTGACTTCTTGGCCTATCGGATCTTCGGAATAAATTCTATATTATTTCTAAGAGTATTTCAAGGAATTTATTGAAAAAAAATTCGATCCTTTGAAATTTTTTTTTAGAGAAACATCGCGTGATTCGTAAGCCGAACGAAGCAACAACAATAAATTTCTATATAGATCTCAAAAGTCCTTTATTATATTATATTATTTATACATATGTATATTAATCTAATATCTCAAATTCTACAGTTTTGCTTTAGCATTCAATGTCTTAATAAATTATTATAATTTCAAAAAAATGGCATTTTATAAAGAACTTTAATTTGTATCACAAATAAATTTCATATTTATTTAAATGTAGTTACATTTTTTTCTCAAACTATCGCTTAAATGATAATACTACAATAAAATATTTATTTAATTAAAAAATTAAAAAAATATTCAACTTAATTTTGTAAATTATGTAAAGCCAAAACGTTATTTTTTTGCATAAAAGGATACATATTATACAATGTACAATACAATAGGTTGAAAGTGGCGCAAATATCAGAAATATACGATAATAATTTACTTGTAATTGTAAATTTCTAAATAAACATATACAATAACAATTTTGTAAAAGTTTTAATACCATTTCATTACAAAGTAATTATGCTTCTGGATAGTAATAATTTCAAGAAGGATACTATGCATGAAAAGTAAATAATTAATAGCTCGAAATCTCACTAATAGTAAATTGTTTGCAGGAGTGTTATCGGATATTTCACATAATACCAAATAGTTGTTTGTGTGCTTTTGTACTTTTTGGTTGGTATTATGTGAGAGAAAACCCGATAATTTTTGGTCAATTATAAAATTCACATGCGAGTGTAACTACTAATTTTTTTTTATTTTATATAAACAAATTCTGTTATTAATTTCATCACGCTTCAAAAATTGCCGTCATAAAAGCCATAAGTAGTATACCAAAAACGAGCGCAAGCAATTGTTTTAAGGACTCCATTTTTTCCTCTTCTTTTAAGAGATCTGGTAAAACTGTGACCAAAGCAATATGTAAAAATCCTCCAGCCGTAAAAGGCATAATCCACGATGTACGAGCCTCTGAAAATATAATTACATAATAAATATAAGTAAGCTGATATTGAACTGTTGTATGCGTGTGCGCCTACCCATTGCGGATGTGACACCCGAGCCACCGATTGCCACCAGCGCACCCATCAAACCGGCACCAGCGGTCAGCAATTGGGCACGTGCAGCGTCCCATCGGCTAAAACCTGAACGTAAGAGTATGGCGAAATCTCCAACCTCATGTGGTATTTCATGTACTACAGAATTAAAACGAGTTTACACTTTACTACATTCCAAGGCATAAATATTAATAACTCAGATCTTATTAACACTTACACAAAATCGCAAATGTTGCCAGCACGCCGTGTCGGAAGGAGACCAAAAACGAACCTGCAACGGCCAATCCATGCGTGAAATTGTCAATTGAATTCGCCATTAAATTTAAGTAGCCAGCCACTTTTTTGGGTTGATCTTTTTGTTTTTGCTCGCGCTCTCTTAAGAAACAACCATTGGGAATCTCTTCAATATCACAAGATTTCGCACAAGACTCCGAACTGTTATGCCCCTCCGGTATTTTTCCGCCTGTTCTTCGTATTAAACAATTTGCAATTTCCACACACTTTGGTTGAGGATTCTCCTCGTCAGCATTTGTGTAGCCAGAGAATATTTTCTCAACAATAGTGAAGATGAGTATACCCGATAAAACCCAAAGTCCTGAGGTCAAAGAAGGATGACCAGTGGAAGCTGAAATAATGTAAAGTCGAGCGATAAATAGGGGTAACAAATTTCAATAAGTGTTATTATGATAAAATGGTTAGTTTTACGAATTTGCGAATTTCACTCCGACTTACAATGCTTTTCGCCTTCCCATGCCTCTGGTAATAGGTGAAGGAAAACATCACCCAATAGGCCACCGACAGCGAAACTTAGTAGTACTTTTAAGAACTTTGATTCACCAGCTATAAGAAGAAAAATCATCATGTGACACTTATAATGGAGATATGTAAATGTACATATACATGCATATGTATGTGTAAACAAATATATAAATGTATGTACATAAATATTTGGAGGCAAAAAAAAAAACAAAAAGGAAAATTAAGTTTATTTTACTTACGATCTTTGAAACCGCCTTTCTTCAGCTTCTCTTCTGAGGGTATTATAATAAGTGGTAATATACCAGCTAGACCGATAACCACTGAACCGAGTAATGAGAATACCCAGGGTGTATACACAAAGTGTTTGCTTGCTTCCATTATAAAGTCGGGTACATAGTTCTGTACTAAATGTGTGTAAATTTGGGCGAATTGCTCGTCGAAAAAAATGCCGCTGGTATTCATATTGGTCTGGTTACACGATTTTCTTTTTTTATTGAAAATATATGTAGCTTAATTACTAAATAACTAAGAAACAATTATCACATTCAAAATTTGCCAAGTAGCTATTTTTCTAGCTATTAGTCGATGATACTCCGAAATCTTTTATCAACTCAAAATGTATAATTGAGCATTAACCTCTTAACTATAAAGGACTTCAAGGTGGAATTTAAACGATATGTTGTACACTGGAACGAATTTTATGACAATTCAAAAAAACTGCAAAAAGGAAAAAAGAAAACAATTGAATATAGTTGCAAATCATGAGATAAAGAAATTTCTATAATTAAATAAATTTTATGTAAAATTTGCTTGGTAACTTCTGTTCATCATGCTAAACTAGATGAGTGATTGAAGGGAATTAATTGTTTGACAATAAAATCCCATTCATGATATCCACTACATTAGTTGAGACACAGAAATGTTTAACTAAGATAAGATATTCAATGACAATAAATTCAATATGTATGTACATATATACAATTAACATGTGTATTTTTGTGATTCTGTTTAAAACTTATAATATTTCAATTCAGTTAGCAACTTGTAAGTCATTTTAATTACTCTGATTTTTAATTGCTTAGTCACAGGAATAAAAGATGATATTTTAACTTCGGTTTGAAGATGGTGAAGTCTATTATTCTGTGCACATAATATGATAAGAATTTTGGCAATGAAAATACCACTGGTTAGCCGAAAACAATCCCCTTTGCTTACTGAAATTTTATTGAGTTTACTTTCACGATAAAAAAATATGGTTTCATGTACATAAAAGTATAAAAATAATTCTGACAAACAAAGAAGTCGAGATCCCTGCCGGAATATGCCTTGATTTTTATTCTATTTTTTTTTTCTTAGTAACAAATCATTACGATTCTGCAACGAAAAATATCACGTTATCTGCATCATGATTCAATAATTACCAGATTGTAGCACTAGAGCAGCCGATTTTACTCTTTATGTGGGAACAAAATACATATGTATGTATTTGAAAATTTTTTGCATTTATGACCTTTTAGCAGTCTGAAACCCCGACGTTGGCTTATTAATTCTTTTTTTTAAACAGCAAGTAAAGGAAAAAAAACATTAGTTCCGGGCGAAACGAGTCAAGACGCATGATATATCCAGATTTAATAAATCATTTTACGGAAAAGTGTGAATAATTGAAAATTGCCACAAACTCTCAGTTCCTCTCTTTTTTCGCGAAACATACAATCACAAAATCACAATTCTCAAGATTTTTATATTAACAAATAGAAAATTAAATGGAAGCCAAGCAAACAAAACAAAAATTAATCTCTATGTTATATATGTATATATATGATACCAGGCGGTCGCGGTTGTCGAGTCGTTAACATTGCGTACTGCCACTCTGAAAGCTCGGGTTCAAATCCCCGTGCGATTAACATCCAAAAGTTATAATAAATTAATTTAAATTTTCTAATTGCGGTCACCCCTCGGCATGGAATGTCAACCCCTCCGAGTGTATTTCTGACATGAAATAAAGCTGCTAATAAAAAAAACATTCGGAGGCTGTTTAGTATAAACTGTAGGTCCCTCCATTTGTTGGAAAAACATGAAGACGTAAAACTACAAATTGGAGGAGGAGCTCGGCGGAAAATCGCAAGCATGAACAAGAGCCAAAGTAACTCTTATCCCAAAAGGAGGAAGAAGCAACCAAGGCAATCCAATAGATTTTCGACCAATCAGTCTTACCTATTTTTTTCTTAAAATTCTTGTAAAGACAGCTGACTCCAAAGGTTAGTATGTCGATACAGCCCTTCATGATATAGTCGGGCGCATCGAAGGGGATTTGCCGTGAAGGAATATACATTTGGTATTTTTCTCGACATCGTTGTCCCTGCCTTTCAACAACGCTGTCCCTGCCTTCGTAATAGATGCTCTTCAGGAGCCCATAGTGAATCTCGTAGAGTGCCTTCTGAGGTGCAAAGATAGTGGGCTGGACGTGAACCCTGATAAAACCGAGGTGGTGCTATTTACCACGAGGTACAAACCGCGTTCCTTTAAACCACCCTAACTAAAGAGAGTGAAGATTACTCTGTCTCCTGAAGTCAAATACCTTGGGATAATCTTAGATAGCAAACTAAACTGGAGCCGGAACACGGCAGAAAGATCAAGGAAAGCTATAACTGATCTCCTCAAAACTCCTGCAAAACGGCGATAGCAAAGAGAGATGTTCAACGATCGGCGCCTATTCTGATAACAGGAGCATTGCCACCAACTCCCTCGAAAGCTAACTCTTCTCAACTTCCTTCCTTTGGACCTATACGGGGAAACTACAAGCGGGTTACAATGCAATAAGACTGAATCTTGGAAGATTTTCAGTATAGGACATACAAAAATATTATCTCGTACAGAAGTGCCGAAGGAGCTGGACTACACCACCCTCAGTGTATGCCTCTGCCCGCCTCACCAAGAAAGCTGTTGCTATTTTTGTAACCGCAGAAATATTCCTTTAAGTACTTTTTAGGGGAATGTTGCGGGAGTGACAGTCCTTGAATAGAAAACCGGGTCATCCCGGTATAAAAAGCCGACTGCCGCGGGAACTATTCGATTTTAGTCGCCTCTTACGACAGGAATGCCTTACCGCGGATAGTTCTTGAACCCCTAACCAGGGAAGCTGACTCGATGGTTGAGCGAGATCATGTGCACCCTTACTAGACAGATATGGCCAAAGTTGAACGCGAAAAAATCAAAACATCTTATCCTTCTGGACCGGTTCTCCATTAGCATAGCTATATAGCGGTGTAATAACTGTACACTGTTTTATGGAGATTCACTGGAATAAGAAGAGACTACCGAAGAGACCACCGTCTAGCCTTGACATCCGCGCGACACAAGTTCCTTGGGAAACATTATTTCGATTGTTCCGCTGAGTTGGCCTCAGCGAACATTGGAAATCTCGTTGCCTTCATAAGGCACAAGAAATGGTTGGATCATATGAGAAGGTGACGGCACGAGCCGCAGCGGTATCACAATGGGTCTATTGGCCTAAGGGTGCTGGGGCTGATCAGCAGCCTCATCAACTCAACTCAACTCTACCTCTCAGTTAAATCCAAAGATAATTACAACTTATTTCGAATAGTTCGGTCCCCGGAGCACTAGCTGGAAGAAAAAGTGTTCGCAATAGTAACGTACCGAATTTCATGTAAATCGCACAGTCGACAGTCATTCAAGACAAATCCTTTTTTATGTATCGATATGCAATAATTCAGCTGAGCTCCCAATCCAATTTGTGGTCTTGATGTTTTCATAACACATGGAGAGAATTACAGCCGCTTCCGAAAGGCCGATTAATTTTTATGAACACGTTTAATGTCAGGAAAACACTCGTAGGTCTAGGGAAATTAATTTCCTACAACTTGGTATGTTGGTCGAACGTAGGATCGAATACTCTTCATACACTTATGCATAGTACAAAACCTAAAGAAAGAATTAGTGCGTAGTAGTATATGGTTAGTTTATATTTATGAACTCAATATTAACGGTGTTTTGACTAACGCGCATGGATATACACTTTTCGCCGATATTAAACTTTTTTTTTAGATTCGAAAATTTCATTATAACAAGTTTTGAATTAGAATTTATAATCATAAGCGAACATAAAATAACGAATTTGAATGCTTTTGAAATTCTTGAATTTGAATATGTTTTATATACTCTGAAATAAATCAAATTTCAAAAATATTTTATGTGAACTAATTTTTTTAGATAACAATGAAGGCTAAAAAACTCTGAATGTGGACGCTTGGAAATGTTAAATTTTACTAAATAATAAAAAATCAAATCAGCGGATGAAATACTATCAAAATATTTTTAAATATGTATGTATGTAAATATGTACAACTAAACTCCAAATGACTGACAAATGAGTGAAATGCAAAGCTTAGCTTAAATTTTCGGTTAAAAAGGCTTTCCATTTGAACATTTTTGATGAAGTGCTTGTTAGCTAGCTTTGTGTGAGGAAACTAAATAATTTAATAGTAATTAAAACAGTGCGCTACCGAATAATGTTGATAAGATAAAAGGCTTTCTCCAAAGATAAAAATAAACACTTCGCACTTCACTCATACATACATATGTATATACGAGGTGTGATCAGAAAATATCCGTTATTTTCAAATGTCGTGAGTTACGTATGTTCGATTTTCGATTTTTTTCTGTTATGTTGGTGGACATGTCTGTTATACATATATGTTGGCAATATCAGCCATTTTGTATTGCCATTTTCCTTCGATTTTTGGCTATTCGAAAAAATGGTTCAAAGAAATTGTATTAGGTTTTGTGTAAAAAATTAATTTAAATGCGCAAGGACATTTGAAATATTGACTGTGGCGTTTGGCGAGTCTACTATGAGCAGAACAAAAGTTCAATTGTGGTATAACCGGTTTAAGGAAGGCCGAGAAGATGTCAGTGACCATGTTCGTCCTGGTCGCCCGAGCACGTCAAGTTCGACCAAATGTGAAGATTTTGCTCACTGTTTTCTTCGACTGGAATGGCGTGATGCATCATGAATTCTCGCCACAAGTTCGTGCGGTCAATAAGGAAAACTACCTAGAAGTTATGCGCCGCTTGCGCAAAGCAATTCGTCAGATGTGGAAAAAACAACCATGGATTTTGACTTAGCTCACACAACGATGCTTGAGCGTAAGTTTTTGGTCAAAAACTAAACCGTTATCATGCCTCAACCAATATGTTCACCGAACTTGGGCCTCGCTGACTTTTTCCTCTTCCCAAAACACCGATGAAAGGAAAGCGTTTTTCTACGAATGAGAAGATGAAAGAAAAATCGAAACAGGAGCTATTGGCGATACCAAGGCACGCGTCTCATTCAGATGTGTTTCGAGAATTAGAAAAAATTTGAAAAAATTGAAAATAATTGCTATTTTCTGATCACACCTCGTCTGCATGTGTAGTTGCATATGACAGAGGATATTTCTTCAGCAGTGCCGAAAACTTAGATGAAAAACCAATAGACTTTAAATTCTAAAGTTCATTGACAATGCAAATGAAATGGATTAAAAATGATTATTTTTGTTGTAGTAAAATAAACTATTTAATACTTAGTAGTTCGTTAACAGTGATAAACATATCATTTTTAATAATAATAATGATAATAATAAATGAAATATAAAACAATCGCGAGCTACAAATCCATCACTGTCTTTCCTCGACGTACATATTTATAACGTAGTATT